TCCCCCAAACAATTTACTTGTCATCTTGACAGTTTCTAAACGCCTTGAAATAGGTCTCCCTCTCTTTAAGAAAATCCAACCACTTCGGTCACACCCATTTCAGGCGGGGGTGTTCGTCAGTGCGCTATGATGCAGTTACTTGGCATCTGAAAATACATTTCCTCAAAGGTATTTTGAATCTGAAAGGAACTTCACTGAATGAGAAGTAAGTGCTGAGAGCAGCAGACAGTTAAGTTTCACTTTCACTTGTTTGCTTTGTTACTGCCAAGAGCCTGCAGGAGTCATGGGCTGGGTGTGTAGRGTGGGGGGTGGGGAGGTGTGCTCCGTGATGAGGAAGCTTGGCTTGGAGACACGTCTCATAGGCGATTCTGGTACCAAAAGGCATTTCTGGGGCCTCATGTATAAATGGTGCATACGCACAAAAATGTTACGTGCGCCAGGTTCTACGCCTACGTTGGGATGTATCAAAACCAACGTTGCGTGAAAGTGTGCGTAAGTATACGCACACTTTTCACTTGTCATGAGAATGTGCGGCAGCCACGCAGTTTTTCAGCCGACAGTTTTAACTCACAAAGTAACGAATCTGACCTGAATCCACAGAAATATGACTGTTTTCTGGATGTAAGGAGCATGTGAACATGGTGTCAGATTTTTTTTAGTTTGAGTTTTTATTGTTTAAACTCGAACAATGATGAAACGGAACCCTGGGACTGAAAATCATTTAACCTCAGACAAGAAAATAGATCAGTCTAAAAATGATCAAAAGAACCTCAMTCTAGTCGTAAACTGTTTTTATATTTTTGTCACATAGTTGAAAACCTTTTGGGTCCCGGGCTGGAAAAACCCGACACATTACGTGCGGCATGAAAAAATATTAATAAAATTAAAAAGGCTGAAGAGAGGGAGCAAAATCAGATGCAAATGGTGGCTCACTGTACGGTAAGAATAATTATTTTTTCTATTTGTAGCCTTCTGGCTGATGCTGAGTGTTGAACTGTGGCCGTGGCGCAGCAGGCTCGCTCTTTGGATAGATTCTCGCGCCAGGTGCACATATACCCTTGCCAGCTGGGAAGGTGTTCATAAATGTCAACCCCTTTGGACGTTTACCTGTCTAATGA